CCCTTTCAGCCGTGGGGGCGTTATAATGTGACGGTCAATCCCACTATTCGTTAGTAAAAGAGTAGCCCAAGAGTTGGCGGTGGGTGGTGATGACTAGCTGCCTTCCCTCTAGTCTTACACTGCTAAATAAGGGACGGCTAGAGCAGATAGCCCTCGTGTAGCTTTGCGCGAAATTCAAAACAAACAAACAAACATTGCCATGCTTAAAGATGTGTGATCATCTTTAATGTATTCCGCTGGAATTCCAGCTTCAGGAGAAGAGTTTCATTTATCACTCCCCGTGATCTGATTTTAATGACCTTAATATTTTTATTTCTTTGCTTTTCTGTTGCTTCAGGAAAAGCTTCCTTTCTATACCTGATGGTAAATGATAGTTTTAGATGCGAGACGTTGTGAGCTTGAATCTTATATCTGCACCAAATTTTTACTTTGTGGTTTAGATGTAATATGTATTTAAAATATATAATCAACATATAGAGCTATTCATATAGAACAAAAACAAAAGTTTTTAGTAAAAACGAGTTCGGTCAGCCTCTGAGAAAAGAAGTTTCGTTATGAGTGGACTTCTTACTTGTTACTGATGTTTTGCCATTTCTGCTCAACCTGTTACTCAACCAAATACAACCGTTAGAAATAAAACAAAAACAAACAGCCATAATTTGTGTTCTTCGTCTGTAAGATTTCTTGTTCTTGCCCATAAACTTGATATAGTAATGTATTATGTTTGTGATTTCTTTACTATGTCTCTGCTCTAACCTAATCATCTTGTTACTTTGTCAATCATGTTATGCAAATGTAAAAATATCTATACACCATCACGATGGCAAAGGTTTTTACTTCAGTAGTTATGTATTTATTTGTAATTAATATCACAAATTAGTGTTGTTTCTTTCAAAAACATAAAAAGGAACTCACTGGGTCTACAGCTAGTAACATACTGACCAATTCACAAAAGCGTCGAATAATTTAAAACTTAAACAAAAGATCCAGATGTATTTCTCTGCGTAAGTACCTGTCTTGTTTTCTTAATATCAACTACAGTTGTGGTAAACCAGCATGAGCAAGACAAAGCTCACAATAATTAGAGACTCAGAGGATTTAGGTTAAGAAGTTTTCACCAAACCAAACATATGTTTCCCTAATAACTCACTAGTTGACGAAATATGGAATCAAACAAAATATAGAAACAGAATTACCCTGTTGAAAACATGAGACAAAATTTATAAATATTTATTGCATTCTATAAGAAATCCTCTGCTAATCATGGCCAGACGCAAGTTTGGAATTCCAGAGCTAATCTAACCTGTACGTCCTGAGTGACCAGAACAGTATCATCATCAAATCAATATCAGGGTGAAATAACTTAGCGACAGCAACCTTAACAAGAAACATCTTGCTTGCCATCAAAATCCAACTGACCAATGACAAGATAGACAGAGCCTAGGTTAACAACAACTAGAGAAATGTGGCACATTTATGTGGTGGTTGCACGAAAATAGGACATGAGTACATTTTGATAAGTTTAATGAAAAATAAAGCAGTAAAAATGTCTGCTAGCATATAACAAAATTACTGGCACAACAGTACGTCCAATACTGAATACATATAAAATATTTTTAAAGCTAGTCATAGGGTTAGTTTAATACACTTGCAACATTCAGATGTTCAAGTTGTTATAATGTTGTTGTTCTCATTAACATTGTACAAATATTCATAATCCAGATATTGTTGAAACAATAGGCAAAGTTAACTTGCTGTGTTATATGCACACATATCTACATATATATATATATAGTGTAAACTCGCAGTGAACCAGCAAAAAAGTAGAATGTTTATAAAACGCCAGACTTATTGCTGTAATTCGTAACATTAACCAAAATTTCGACTATTTGCCATTCTGGTGCAATGTCGGTATTTTTTAATATATATTATGTACATTGAAGAAAAAAATGAGTTAGACATGATGATATACACCGTGAGAATTCGTAAAATTCAGACATACAAAAAGTATAGTACTGTAGTAGTCAGAGAATTAACTTTTTAAATCCAATTCGTATTACCTTTGTTAATAAAAGCACTTGTTTTTCCTCATTATTTATAACAGGATTTTCAATCTCTTAACTTATTGCACCTACACTTTTGTCGTAAACTGAAAATAGGTATATTAGACTAATGCTAATGATAATAGATTATTTACAGATTTAAGCCTCGTTGATTCCTCAAATTAAATGCTACTTACTCTATACGTATATATATTCTCTTTTTCCTATGATCTTTTGAACCTATACTAATAATACGGGTGAGACTACTGAAGAGGGTCTGAGAGGCTAGCATAGCACAACCCGTAACAAAACTGATAACTGTTTTTTCTAGCGATAATAACGGTAATTTGTCTCTTCAGGTTTCACCGAGTTTGTTTTAACTCATCATGTCCCAGAAAAAAGTAAAAATATAATGAATGTTTATACATATGGCAATTAGAAACGTATATTTCGCATTTTGATGGTCACAGAAATTAAATCTGGTACTACAAAAACTGGCGAACGTGGCGCTCTAACTTTATATTCATAACTTTTTTCATCTGCTAATGTGTTTCCTCAACCTGACATGAACCTTGCTATGGACTATGTATTGGACTGATGCTGACTCACGGCCTACTCAGACCTACGATAGTATTTTCACAAACAGACCCTCTGAAAAATTCCTGGTGATGCCAATGCTCTTTCTGCGTAAAGCTTGCGATAATTATTATCTACAACTGATGGTTCATGAAGGATAGTTTACGCTAAACATTCGTATGAAAAATCACATAAATCACATTTACATTGCTCCGAATAAATATGGGGAACTCAGGGATTAATTCTATTAGGACTGACAAATGATTGTAAAGGGGGGGTACTAAGTAGTGCCATAAAAATTGTCCCAAGAAATCATAGATATTAATTAATGAGTTAATTTTTAGTTCTGATCTAGGTGGAAAACTTGCTTTGAGTAGAAGTTAATGATAATAATACTATAGTACAATTTTAGCAAAACTACTATGCAGTTTAACTGAAAAACGACTTTAAAAACATCGGGGGAGGGGATGTGTATGAAAGTATTTTGAGCACTGATATAAAGCTTTACATATGTTTATTCTTGGGGATACATACCAAAAATAAAAATGCATCTATATATATATAAAGACGAAATGTGTGTTTGTTTACACCCTAACTCCTCCGAGTCTTTTGGGCCAATCTCAACCAAAATTTGTATGTAAATACTATAAACTATGTGAGAATGTCCTAAGTGGGTCAAAATTTAACTTAACCCTATTTCTATTTTGTAAAGCCTGTTGGTTAATCACTCCCAGCCTATTGAGTCAATTTCAAACAATCTTGTCAGGATGACGCTTTAGACAATGTTGAATATTCTAAAAGGATTCAAAGTCAAAGTATGAAAGTTGCTGGATTGTTTCTCAAACAATCACGCTTTCCTCATGGTCAATCAGATGTAGGGAGTTCAATGGTGGGATCACCTCAAAATCTTTGTTTGTTGGTAGATGGAAAGCAAAGTGCAAATGTTGTTTACGAAGAAACTTTGTTGTAATTTTAAAATTTTGCGATAAAGTTTCTGTTCAAGATATTACTTTGAAATATATGATTGATGTTAAACTTAAATTGTTTTAATTAAGTTTAAACATTCTCTGTCACTCGAGGGGTATTTCAGCTTGTTATTATTATATAAACTACAGTTTGTTACGTACACACGAAGGCCGACAATGCTCTAAAAGTTAAAACTAATTCAGTTGCCCATCGGTAAGTTTGAGGACTTATAAGGATAAAAACTGGGTTTAGATACCCGCGGTTGGCAGAGCACAGATAACTCATTGTGTGGCCTTGTGCTTAGTAACAATCAAAATATTATCAATTTTGGAATTTCAACAAATGATCTATTAATCGAGTGAAAAGTTCCAAAAACCGTATCTTGGTAAATGCAGTTATCAATAGTTAGCCTTCACTCCTGGTGTTTCAGTTGTAAAAGTCTCAGTCCAAAAAAGAGGGTCTCGAGATGTTCTGTATAGAACTATCCTGTAGTTTTATATCGTATAAAGTAGGTTTTATTTACGCCCTATCAGTTTAAACTTCAAGACTCATAAAATTCAATTAAACTTTAAATATCTAATTATTCAACGTATTTTGCGTAAGATAGAAACAAAAATATTGGTTAGAAATATAAAGCTAATTGTTTTTTTGTACTCTACTTTGAAATGTAAAAAAAAATATGGAAAATGGAAGGGAAACTTTAATAAATTCGAAAGTTTGTGTGTATGCGTGTTTTATATTATGATAAACGGTACAAAGTGGTAATATAGACACAACTGGATATTATAACTGAAAAGTAATATATACCTAGCGATGAGGACCACACTTTCTCGTAACACTTTGAAAATATAAATTGGCAATCGTGCAGTTTATGTTGATGGTTTTTATTGTAAGTACCAACACGGGAAATATTTTATTTTATTTTTATTTTTATTTTATTTTTTATTTTTATTGTAAGTACCAACACGGGAAATATTTTATTTTAAGTTTAAAATCAACTGTGAATAAAATAATCCAAATATTGTTACCACATATACAGTTGTGGATGATTGTGAGAAAAAACGAGAATAACGTGATTTTAAATTAGCTGTCAAGAAAATAATATCGGAATTCTCAAGTTTCGTGCAAGCATTTAGACATTATAATTATTACTTTATCTGTCTCTTTTCCAAACAAACCACTAAACACGAGTTTCATATTTCTGGGCACAAATCTGAGCTTCGTGGTGTAAAATACATATTTATGATAAACTTTACGGTTAGTAGTTCAATCTTATTTTAAAAAACAAAACAAAAAACGTTTCCTAGTTAATCTATGTCCTTTTTCACATGGATATATTGTGTATAACACAGAAAACAAAGGTTTAGGTTTTCGACAATGTGTAGTTTTGTAAAGTAATTACGTTGAAGAACCTACCTGTTGGACCAGTAATCAGTACTGGCAGGGAAGACGTTATGGTAAAACACAGGAGGTACGCTAAGAATGCCAAGTAGTGTTCCTTCATGACCAAGCTTAATAGATACCTGTTCTTAACATTTCAAGAAGCAGTTTCCTACTCTCTCTCTTCAAGTGGTGCTTTATATTAGTTAACACGTCGATGACGTCATACCGCACGTTCTCATTTTCAGCGCGTCATTTGTTCGGGAAGATTTAGTAGGTGTATCTCTGTCAGGTCTTTTCCACGTCTCTCAGAGCTAAATCTCAAAATGCACGGTTACTTGCACAATTACAAAGCCCACTTTGTGTAAACGTGCTACGAAGGAAGGTTTGTAATGTTTGGGCATTTTAAGTACTTAGTGCAACACATATGCAATACCGAAATAATCGTAAGAAGCAAAGGCACTTATGGATTTTCTCAAATACCACTGAACTTTAAAAAGAAAAGAAAGACCCAATGAAATCTTGGGTTCGAAGAAAACAAAAAGTAGTCAAACAATGTGACGTATAACGTTATTGTTGGAATTGTAACTAGTATATGAATGTGTGAATTTTTATTGTTCTGTATTTTCCATCAATACTACATTGTAGACAATATTACAGTGCTAACAATAAGTCATTGTAACACTTGTAACGCACCGAAAACACCCCATTTAATTGTGACTCGTGGAATCCATTGTTTTTTCAATTAACTATAACAATAACGAAAATATTTATTTTCGTTAAAAAAATATAGAGTTAATAATAAGTATAGCTATAACTAAAAAACGTAAAACGATAATGTAATAGTAACAAAAATGATTTAGTTATCTGACATACATTCATGTGGTTTGGGAGACAAGCGGTCTGAAAGAAATTCTTGAATAGAATGTGTCAGAATTGCAGAAAATAGACATGAAGCTAAACCGAAAATATGTTTATTGAAGACTTCTGATCGTTCAATGTTGGTAGCTGGCCAGCCTAAGATGAGTATTGTGAAGAGATTTATTAATGTAGAGCCCCGAGTTTATTTTACCTCGACAGATGTCAAGGTCGACACTATAATAGTAACTAAAATCATGTGAAGTTAACTGTAATAATAACCAGAACTAAAATTAAACTAATAATTATAGTAACTCAAACTAAAGGTACAAATCCCTAACTATAAGTATAACTATAACTAAAAAAACACTGATCAAACCGCAATAAAGTAACTCTATTACATTAACAATTTGATATTAAGTAATAAATACCATTACATTAATAATTTGATATTAAGTAATAAATACCATTACATTAATAATTTGATATTAAGTAATAAATACCATTACATTAACAATTTGATACTAAGTAATAAATATCATTTCATTAACAATTTGATGTCAAGCACTAAATACCATTACATTAACAATTTGATATTAAGTAATAAATACCATTACATTAACAATTTGATATTAAGTAATAAATATCATTATATTAACAATCTGATATTAACTAATAAATACTATTACATTAACAATTTGATATCAAGTAACAAATACCATTACATTAACAATTTGATATTAAGCACTAAATACCATTACATTAACAATTTGATATAGAATAAAAGGATAGAAACCAAGTTGTAGATTAGAAAACAACAAAAAGCCACATGTTATGTTGTTTTGTACGATACATTGAAAACGTATCTTTTACACATGCTTGAGAGTTTCGATGATTTGACAGAAATCAAAACTGCGAGCCAACCACAGAGTTTCGAGCAAACTCGCTACAAGATTGTATATAATATACAATAGCTGATTTCTGCCAAAAAATGCATAAGTACCATCTCAAAAATAGCGATTTTAACCTTTCTCATAAATGCTCGTTCACTCGAGTCATTTTAACAACCTAGAACTGCCTACGTTTATTTTATATACAAGTACTAATTATCTAGCGAGAGAGGATCTTCTTTTCTGCTTGACTGCATGATTTATTAGGTAATTCGCCTAACCTATACAAAAACTCTAGATAATTAGTGTAGATGATAAGGAGCTTTTAGCCTGATCATTCATGTACAAAAGTTACGATTTATCCAACTGAATATTAAACAGCTGTTTATAAATTTTCCATCTCAACAGACCTTGTATTTATCTTTTTAATCGAATTGTTAAGCTCCAGTTCTCCTCCTCGTTTAACTGCTAAAGCCCACACCGTTGTTATCTTCTGTTGCTATGTCAAACAATCACTTTTAACTTTAAGAAAAAACATGTTTTTTGTTGTTGCTGTTTATTGTTTGTTCAATGTATGATATTATTTGAAGTAAAGAACGTGACAACATGAACACAAGCTTACACTTTGTACGAGGTATGATTTGGCTCGAGATAGAGTTCATGATCCTGAACACGATCATTACATTTCGTACGATGTATAATTTCATTCAGATCATGACCCTCATCATATTTTATGACTAATTTGTGAATCTTAAGCAGTCAACAAAATAGATCCACTTATAAATGATTATGTTATATTCGAAATATAAGTGTATTCTACTATTCGGAAAAAGTATTACAACCTTAAGAAAATTTTGTCTTACTTTTCTTTGTTTGTTTGTAGTTAAACACAAAGCTACATTGTGGGCTATGTGTGCTGTGCCCTCACGGGTATCGAAACCCGGTTTTTAGCGTTATAAACCTTCAGACTTTCCGCTGATACACGTGGTAGGCACAGCGCAGATAATCCTCCCTGTAGCTTTGTGCTTAACAACGAAACAAACAAAAAATAAAGTGTACCTTACTATTCAGGGAAAGTATTATAACCGAAGACAAAAGAGTATCTTCCTATTCAGAAGAAGCAGCTCTGTGACTTAGTGGTGAAAAACGTCGATGCATCAGATGGCCAATTGGATAAACCCACAGCCATACAACACTTAATAAACACAGAGACACTTTCGAGAGATTATTGTAGCTTACACTGAAAGGGCTGAAATGGGAGAAATGCTTCATCTATATCAGCGACATATCCGTGTTTGGTCATATGTTACAATTTTTGGCTGAGAACCTGAAAATGTTATTTTAGTGGATAAAAAAGGCAGACTTGAACCTGCAAAATATGTGTTCCTTCTCGTGGAAATGAAGTTTCTTGATCATATTGTGGGTACAGAAGGAATCTCCAAGGATTCTGCTAAAATATCAGTGGTAAAGATGGGTCTCCATGTTTGCCTCAACCTTATCAGCTCTCACTAACACGCAGGAGTGAGATATATGAGCGAACATTCTAGATCTTGAAGTGTGCTTCAGTAAAAACCTGGTGTTGATACATATATGACAAGATTGTAAATTCCTGCTGGATACTGATGCTACTGATAATGGATTTGGAGCAGTATTATTGCAATTGCAGGATGGAGTAGAACGTGTAATTGTATATGTTAGTCACGTGCTCACTGCTCCTGAATGCAGATACTGTATGATGAAGAAAGGTAGATGAAGATTAAACCACTGTTTTATCCCTCTTTAATCATAGGGAAAAGTCAAAAAAGAACTGAGAGCACTTATTTAGCTGTTCAAGATAAGATAGAAGACGATGTGACGAATCTAGAGGCAAGAGTCATCTCTGACAGCCCATGAAACCGTCGACGACGACCTTCCAATCGATATGACTGGAATTAAATCTGATTATCAACAGTTAGGACAGTCATTTAGTCGAGAAGTAAAGGGATGAAGAAGCTTTGCAACTCTTTCTTTCCAAGCTATCATCTTTGATTGTCTTGCAGAATTTGTGGACTACATTTTGTGATTACTACTCGATCATAAGTTACAAATGTTACTGACTGTAAGATCACTGGATGGAATGAAGTAGTAATTTCTGCTCTCCAAACTTGCAAGTGATGTTCACTATACAATGTATGCACTAAATTGTGTAATTACCACATAATTAAGACAGATGAAATCACTAGATGTAATGCCGAATACATCACTAGTTTACACATCTAAATACAATAGATAGGAGTTGGAAAACCTAGCTGAAAAAGTGCTATAACCCTTGTTTTCTGCGTTATCAGTTCGTATTTTAAGGTACAGTGTATGCACTATATTGTATGATTACCACTCGATTATCTGAAGTTAGAACAGTTTGTTGACTGGAAGATTAAAGGGACTGAAAAAGGCTATGGGACCATAACTTCCGAGAATCAAGCAGAGTTTCATTATAAAAGTATATTGGAGGGGAGCTGCTTGATTAATGCAGTTTAGAATGGCTGGTGACATTAGATGAAAATAGATGTAACACTTAGTGCTTCAACAATTTGTGCAACTGAAGATGATCACTAGGAGTTTTAAAATGCACTTGAAGTACTTTGCGACTCATGCTTTCCAAAACGTTTCACGAAAATCACACACACCTGATTTAGCTGAATGGCTAGATCTCTATGGAAAACACTGCATCGTCCTCTCCATATCTTTTTTTGGGGTACACCTGAAAGACATATAACTTTTCCACATGCAATGAGGGAGTTATGATTTATCTGATTGTGTATTGATATATATATATTGTAGTAACAGGTCGAATATTAATTCTGGCTGATGAAAATTTAGCTCAAAAGTTTTAGTTTAGCTGAATTATGTTCGTATTTGTTGATTTCATGATGCCTGAGAAGAAATGTGCACGAGTTTGATGGTTCACAGGTTGTAGCACTTTACTAGACAATAGCTACTAATAAGTAGCTTTCAAAAATAACTCAAGGAAGTAAAAAAGTAATTTGAGCAGGAACCAGAGGCCATCTGTTGAAAGTTATTAGTGTATGTGAGAAGTTTAATTTAAAATGTATATGGCAACACAATTGTCTAAATACTGCATGTGTGTGGCTCTACATGCATGTATGAACATTACATGTAACTATTCACGAGTGTTGTACAACACGAATGAATTAATTACATAATGAACACACTTATTAAACCATGATGAATGGAAACAAAATGTATGATCTTGGTGTTCACACTTCCCAATATGAAGTTAGTGTAATTACTCACCTGAAAAGTTTTATTTGAAGTTTACTTGTGATGGGATGTCTCAATTTTGATACTGAAGTATTCCTCATGTAATGAATTTTCATGAAAAGATAAGAGTAATGGAG